CCTAAGGAGTCACGACCTCAGAAACCCACAGGGGCGGCTCTCCCCTGTCCCTGACGTCGCCTTGACAGCAGCGGCTTTGAGATTTTGCCGAATCTGCTCCCTGCACGTGTTTCATACATGTGCACACGCCCTGTCAAGAAGGTGCACCCTGACTGTCACAGCCCCCTGCCCCGGTGAGGCCAGCCTGCCGCTTCCTGGCCTCTGTGTGCAGAGGCAGCAGGTGCGAGCACACTGACCCAGCCCTCCTCGTCACATGAACAGCGGCAGCGTGTGCACACACCTCTCAGTCACCTGAAGCGGTGGGAGTCACAGCGGCCCCCGGGCCCTGCCTCTGAGCAGCTGCACCCCACTGTGGCTGCGGGGACAGCCTGCGTGTGGCCGCCCTGGGGAGCCCGCCGCATCCTGCCGGGCCCCAGAACCCGCGACCTCGGACCACATGTACCAGTCAGGCCCCTGGGATGAGAAGAGATTTGTAGCCAGTTGGGACCATGTCCTCCATACCCTGGGTGGGGTCACCAGCAGGCCCAGGCAGTCACAGACGCCCCCAGGGCCTGATGCAGTCCTGGTCTCCACCAGAGGTGTGGGGCCCTGGGCAGCCCACCCTGTTCCTGAGCCCCCTCTCTACCCTGCAGAAGGATCACACCCCCACCCAGCTCCCCCAGCCCCCATCCCCCATCTGGCTCATTCTAGCCACTGCGGCCTCTCACCCTCTCCTCACTCCTCCCGGCAGACAGCCCGTTATAGAGCTAATGCCACAGCCTGACCATAATGACAGGCCGCAGCCCTGGCTTCCTCTCCCAGTCCAGGACGCAGGCTGGCCTGCGACAGACACACCCATCTGGGCCAGGCTGGCCCTGCAAGAATGCAGCCCCCCTGGACGAGGGCCCGGGTGACCCCAGAAAAGCAATTGAGAGAAACAGCAGGGTCAGCCTGGACTAAGCCTGAAGCTGCAGCCCCAGGAAGAGGGGACCACCACTGCCCAGTGCCACCCCATCTCCCACCCTCACCCCCACACCCACCATCTCCCACCCTCACCCCCACACCCACCATCGCCCACCCTCACCCCCACACCCACCATCTCCCACTCTCACCCCCACACTCACCCCATACCCACCCCATCTCCCATCCCCACCCCTGCACTCACCAATCTCCCACCCTCACCCCCACACTCACCATGGCCCACCCTCACCCCCTGGTTTGAACCAGGACTGCTGCCCCCTGAGGAGGCTGAGGGTGCTGTGCCCCAGAAAGGGCAGCATCCTGGGTGTCCCCGGGTGAGCCCTCATCCTCTGAGAGGCACCCCATGATGGGCTCCAGAGGCAGCCTCGTCCCAGCCCCAGGGCCTCTGCACACGGCAGCCCTGTCCTGGGAGGCAGTGCTCTCTCCGATGGCACCCCGCTGTTCGCTGAGGGCACCCCATGGGGTGTGGACCTGGACCCCTGACTCGGGGAGGCTGGAGGGCTGGCCCTCCCTGTGGCCTCCACCGAGGAAGGCACAGGGTCACCCTGCCAGCGAGAGCCAGCCTGTCTCTCCCACCACCCGCCAGCCCTCACCATAATCAGGCTGGAATCAGATTAGCATGGGGGCAGGCTCTGGAGACCCCCACCCCGGGGCTCGGCTGGGTGGCCAGGAGTCAGGGAAGGGCTGAGGCCAGAGCCCCAGCCCCACATCCAGAGGCTGGCAAGGGCCCAAGGCGAGGCTCGGAGATGGAGCTGGGATCTCACGGTGGCAGAACACCATGGCCAGACTCGGGCAGCGCCCACCACGGACCCCACTGCCACCTCACCCGGCTGTCATGCACCTGGGAGTGAGGATTGGGGGCAGGAGGAGAGACAAGATGGCACCCCCACCCCTGAAGCCTGGCACCCTGATCAGTTCTCCCTCCCTCCCTAAAGGCTGCGCCCACAGCTGGGGGTGGGGTGGGGGGAATGCTATGCTTGGATGGCGCACAAGGAAAGTGGGCTGGGCTCCCCAGACCTCCCACCGACCAGCCAACCTTCCCTGCCCACTGCAGTGTCCCTCACCCCCTCCCCGGATACGGCTGCCTCAGCGCAGGGCAGGGAGGCATGGGCTGCGGGCTCCCCCACACCACCAGTCTGCCCCCGTCCACCAGTCACGGGCCCAGGGACCGGGCCTGGTGTTGGGGAAACAGACCAAACACAGTGTGTGGGGCCTCCGGCCGACAGCTACTCTCGGCCAGGAAGAGGTGAAGCAGCACCTGGGCAGGTGGACAACACCAGACACGGGGGGCGGGGAGACCCCTGGTGGACAGAGGCCAGTCCATGAGCTGTGCATGTGCAGAGCAAGCCTAGGGGACAGCAGGGAGATGACCTCGGGCTGCAGAGGCTGCGCGGAGTGAGGAGAGCCGGCCAG